CCTGCTGAATCACCAGAAATGGGATCCTTAACACTAACATCACTACTAGAAATTCTAGCAACATCTGGAATCCTGCCAGATACCCACAAAACTCCCAAGGTGTTCATCTTTTCTATCAACTCAACCACTAGAGTTCAGGTGTTGAGCAGTGGCAATGGTCAATCAAGGCAAAACGTCACCTTTCATGTATGAATGAGCACAGCAATGTGACGTGTATTAAATTACAACTGATCCATTCTACAATATCACATCAGAAAGCACTTATTGTTTTTAACAGTCTGGAGGCAGTACAGTATAATAATTAAGAATACAGTTTTGACCTACTGCATAGTGTACAGCACAGGGAACTACAGCCAATATCTTGTAATAATCTATAATGGAAAAGAACCTGAAAAAGAATACATATATACATAATATATGTATTTATAGCTGAATCACTTTGCTGTATACCTGAAACACTGTAAATCAACTATACTTCAATTTTAAAAGAATACAGTTTTGAAATCAGACAAATCTGGGTTCATATTCCAGCTTTGCCACTTATAAGGTATGTGAGTTTCAGTGAGTTAATTAACCCCCGTTAAGCATCCCCATATAAAACAAAAAATGCAGATAACTAGTACCTAGAAATGTAGCCTGGATTCTAAACCCAGCTCCACCAACCATTAGCTATGTGAATTTGGGCAAGTTATTTAACCTCTCTATGCTTAAATTTCCTCATCTATAAAATGGCAACTGTAGTACCAACCTTGTAACATTGTTACAGGATTGAGTTGAAACATGTAAAGTACCTGGAACACAGTATGTGCTCAATAAATACCATCTATTATCACTACTGCCTGGGCTACCACCACCACAACCACCGCTTCTTCCTACTTCATAAAGCCATTCTGAGGATGAAAGGAAAACAAATTTTAAAAGTGTAACACAGTTCTTGGTACTTATTAGGTTCTCCTAAACGAAGGCTATTACTGTTAAAAGATATCACCTCACTTAAATTCTCATTAAAAACCCTGTGATGTAGGAGCTATTATGATTCCTTCTTTAGAGATGATGAAACTGAGGCTCAGAGATTTAAAAACTTGCTTAAGGGCACACAGTAGAAAGCCTAACTGAAGTGGACAATAACTATGGGATTGTGAAAAATAAAACAGGATTGAACAAATGGAAACCAGTAATGCAGAATTCTAAAAATTCAGGAAGGAGTATGGACTTGACATAATGTACAACAAAGATTACTGTTTGTTCTTAAACTAGGAATGGGGCTATATGATGAAACTGAGGACACAAAATTTCAAAAACATGAGCCAAATAGATGGGTGGTTTCCCCAGTCAATAAATAAAGCAAAACAAGCAGGTGGTTAACACAGACTTCCACCTAGGCCTTAGGTCATCAGCACAGTAATGTCAGCACTTAATCAAATCAGCACGTGAAGCTTACCAAATGCTACTAGTCATTCAACAAATAGCCAGGATTTCACAAAAGTGCTGCTTTGCCCAAATGACCACAATGGAACTCAGGTCACAAAGAACACCATATTTAAAAGGAACCTAGGAGACTTCCCTGGCGGCACAGTGGTTACGAATCTGCCTGCCAATTCAGGGGACACGGGTTTGAGCCCTGGCCTGGGAAGATCCCACATGCCACGGAGCAACTAAGCCTGTGCACCACAACTACTGAGCCTGCGTTCTACGGCCGGTGAGCCACAACTACTGAGCCAGAGTGCCACAACTACTGAGCCAGAGTGCCACAACTACTGAAGCCCACGCGTCTAGAGCCCATGCTCCGCAACAAGGGAAGCCACCACAATGAGAAGCCCATGCACTGCAATAAAGAGTAGCCACCGCTCGCCGCAACTAGAAAAAACCTGCGTGCAGCAACAAAGACCCAACGCAGTCAGAAATAAATAAATTAAAATTTTTAAATAAATAAATAAATGGAACCTAACACAGGAAGGATAATGCATAAGTAGAGTATGTCATATGGCTCATTTAAAGCTGAAAATGACAGGACTTCCCAGGTGGCACAGTGGTGAAGAATCCGCCTGCCAATGCAGGGGACACAGGTTCCAGCCCTGGTCCAGGAAGATCCCACATGCCACAGAGTAACTAAGCCCGTGCGCCACAACTACTGAAAGACTGCACACCTAGAGCCAGTGCTCCACAACAAGAGAAGCCACCGCAATGAGAAGCTAATGCACTGCAACAAAGAGTAGCCCCTGCTCGCCTCAACTACAGAAAGCCTGCGCACAGCAATGAAGACCCAACACAGCCATAAATAAATAAATAAATAAATAAATAAATAAAATTGAAAATGACAAATCAAACCACATGTCATCTTTGCCGACTTAATCAGGAAGTCACCCCACAAGGCCTCCTCCTATCTTTGCTTGAAACTGAATTACAACTCCCTTCATGCCCTAACATTCAGGGGAACTAAAACATCCCTTCCTGGAACAGGGTGGAGAAAAATTACATGTTATTTTTCCTCAAGGCCAGTGGATCCATCCCAGGTGCCACGGTGACAACTTCATTTCCAAATCACAGCCCTCCTGTGTCATAAAAATTATTCCATGCCCTGGGAAATCTGTCCTTGTCTCTTCCAAATTACTGCCCCACTGCCCAAGTCAATATTGTTAATTGCAAGAATCCAAAGAACATCTTCTGCCTTTTCTAGAGCCAATATACAAAGAAGGAAAGGAACTCTCTTTCATGTATATTTTCATGAACCTGTGTTTTGGGGCCAGGAGAACAATGGATGTTTAAAAAGTACAGCTTCTTGCATTCTGGTGGGCAGAAGCTGATTTATTCATTGATTCTTTTATTAGGAAGATAAATAATTTTTTTACCCAGCTAAATACTAATGGAGTAAATGCCAAAATACGCTAGGCATTCCTTTATTCAGTAAAATGTCAACGAGTATAGTATCTGCCTTTCATTGAGTCCTAAATGAACTGCGTGTACTGGGAAATTTTTTTTGAAGGCAGTTTTTATCCTGAAGAAGTTATTGTAACCACCACGAAGTGGCAGGTTGTTGAGAACAGGGTATGGTGAAATTTGACAGACATCAACTTAATCAAGTTATCCAATTTAACAGCACCAATAATGATGATGTGATGCACTGAGAAGGAAACATCCCTTATAGCAATCCTGTCAGAAAATGTAGTTATGAGAATATAATCAGACAAACCCAACCTAAGAAACCTTCTTCAAATCAACTGGCCTAGATTCTTCAAATATCACTATCATTTGTCACGATGTCAATGTCACAAAAAGAGGCTAAGAAACTGTTCTCAGAGTAAAGGAGATTAAAGAACCTTGACAACTAAATGCAATGTGTGATTCTTGATTGGATCCTGGATTAATTTTTTAAAAAACTCCAGCTAAAACATTATTAGGACAATTGGAGAAATTTTAATATAGGTTGCATTTTAATAATATTGGTAATATCAGCACTAAATTCCCGGGGTGTGATGATGGTATTGCAGTTACACAGGAGAATGTCTTTTTAAGACTGATAAAATGACATCTCTACGGCTCTGAACTGGTTCAGTAAAGAGTGTGTGTGGAGAGAGAATGTAGGCATGTGTAACAAAGAGAAGGCAGATATATCAAAAATATTAATAAATGGTGACCCTAGGTAAAGGATATAAAGGTACTTGAGATGCTCTTTTTGCAACTGTTCCATGGGTTTGAAATTTTTCAAGGTAAAAAGTTGAGAAAAATGGAGATGTAAAACTAAAGAATTCCATGAAGTTAAAAAAAAATACATTAGTATAACTTGTAATTGAGGACATTCTCCTCCAATGTTTTACTTCATACTCTCCTGTAGGACTTAGAATGGTACTGATTTTACTTACAGATGTTTAAAGCAAATATTCCAAGTGAATTTTAAAGATTGTCTGAATCTATACTTACAGGAAGGCAGTCACTTAATTTCCTTAAGTAATGAATTAGCTGACTGAAAGTGACGTACTATTTGAAATTTAACCTGTAAAATCTGCTTAACTTGCTGAGTCAATTTAATGGACACAAACAACTACTTCAGAAAATCAAATTCTGAATAAACAGAACAAAATAATCTACTGACAGACTTTCCTTAGAGGCTCACACATGCACAAAAAAGTCCAAGCAAACAGTGCCTATTAACTGCCACACAGTTAACTCTTACGAACACAATGACAAACAGAATTGCTCAAATTCTCCTATGTTTAACCTCTGTTACTGACTCAAGTCCTGTTCTGAAAAGCTGAACTCTGGTCCAAGAAAACTGAGCAGCCTTCAAAGTCAATGAACAACTTAAACTGTAGCATTCACTTGGGAGCTAGCAAATTATCCTCTTTCCAGTCCTGTTACTGAATTGCTATAAGACCTATTAGCTAACTTCTCTAAACCTCAGTATTTCCAGCTGTAAAAAGAAGGAAATTCTGACACTATCTCAAAAAGATAATGTGGAAGAAACTCCATTTTCCGTAACTATGTATACTAAGTTCAAGAATAAAAGGATGAACACAAAATTTTCTAGGCATATAAATAGTCCCGAGGCATTAGAGAAATTTAGCCAAACAGCAAATACCTTAGTATACAAATACTTAATTTTGCTATGAATATTTTATATCCTTTTATCCGATGTGATGGTCAAAAAGTTTTTATTTTTAGGGCTTCCCTGGTAGCGCAGTGGTTGAGAGTCCGCCTGCCGATGCAGGGGACACGGGTTCGTGCCCCGGTCCAGGAAGATCCCACGTGTCGCGGAGCGGCTGGGCCCATGAGCCACGGCCGCTGAGCCTGCGTGTCCGGAGCCTGTGCTCCGCAATGGGAGAGGCCAAAACAGTGAGAGGCCCGCATACCGAAAAAAAAAAAAAAAAAAAGTTTTTATTTTTAAAGTCTATCATTCAACCAAATAAAGCATAAATATTCCTTACCTTTAAAAAACTTCTAGTGTATATCTAGCTTCTGTACCTTTCACACAGTAGGTAGTTACTCAGTGATTGAAGAAAAAAAAGTAGTAAAAACTCAGGAGAGTTTTCCATCCATGCCTCCTCACTGCAGGTCCTAGGAATGCCTAACAGAGGTACAATGTGTTTGCCCTCTCAGAGACCTAGGGGTCTCCTGAAGATCCTAAGGACCACACTCCCAGAGGTCACACCTCATGCTGGAGGCCAGGCAAGAACCAGAATTAGGCCTCCAGAGACTTCCCTGGCGGTCCAGCGGTTAGGCCTCCGCCCTTCTGAGGCAGGGAGCATGGGTTCGATCCCTGGTCGGGGAACTAAGATCCCACATGCCGCATGCTGGGGCCAAAAAAAACCCCAAATTAGCCTCCAGACAGTCTCATTCCAGGGGCCCCTCCACCCCCAAACCACATGCCTACCTCAGAAAACCTCATTTTCCCACAAACTGCTAGCCACAAAATTCTTGATGAGTCACTGACTCCTTGGGAGAGGTGGATGGGTTACTATATAGGAGAAAAAACTCTTGATAGGAAAATCAGAAAATCTATATGCTCAGCAATCAGGAAACTAGCTAAATAATTTATATTAATTTTTATTAATTTAATTCATTAAATTAATGAAGTATTGTTATATTACTTCACTCAACAAGTACAGTCAGCCCCCTGTGTCTGTCGATGTGAAACCCACGACTATAAAACTGGCAAATACAGAAGGCCAACTGTGTTTGTCAAAGGGCTACTGTGTGCCAGATGTGCTGCTAAGCACTAGGGGAACAGACACTGGTCCCTGCCTTCATGATACTTACACTCTCAAGAGGGAGACAATACACTAGACATGTAAACATACATCTATTACCAGAACTTGTAATGATTTAAGGGAAAAGTAAACCAAGGTTCCATGAGAGACAAAAAGCAGGACTTATTTTGGAATTACTGAAGAGGAAAAACAACACTGAAAAAGGACACTCAACCTGAGCTGTCAAAAAGATAAGAAGTGGGTAGGACAGGGGGAAGTCTACCAGGTAGAGGGAACAGCAATGCAAGGGCTTGGAGAGTTACCGAAATTACTTGACTGCCAGTGGAAAGTGTGTCTCTTTGGGGGAGGGGACAGTGGCAAGAGACAAGGTTGGTGAGTGGGTAAGGTTACATAGGGTCTTGTAGTCCTACTAAGGAATGCAGATATCCTCTAAGCACATAGAAAAGCAATGAAGGGTTTTTACACAGTGGGTGATTTGATCCAATTAATATTTTAATTCACTTTGGCTGCTGTGTGGAAAACAAAATGGAGGGGGCGGGGCAAGAGTGGAAACCAAAGGCTATTGCTTAATCTGGACCAGAGATGATGGACTACAAAATTAGCAGTGGGGATGGTGCTGCATTCAAAATACATTCTGCACGTGGAGATGACAGGACTGGCTGATGGACTTGATTTAGCGGTGAGGAAAGAGGGCTAGATTTCTGGTTTAAGCAACTGGATGGATAAGAGAAAAGGGCTAGAAATATATTCTGGGGAATCATTTGCATACAGATGGGTAAAATGACCAAGGGAATGTGGAGAGAAAGGGTCCCAGGACTGAGCCCTAAAATACTTCAACATTTAGAAGGCCAAGCAAGGAAGGAAGGCGGGGCTTGGAAAGAAGACTGAGAAGTAGTCCTTGATGTAGGAGGAAATCCAAGAGAGCACGTCACAAAGCCAAGAGAGTGTCTTGAGTTTCTGTATCAATTGCTGCTAAGGGATCAAGGAAGTTGAGGCCAGAAAATCAACTTCTGAATTTGACAAGATGGAAGGCTCAGGTAACCTACATAAGACCCATTTCTGTAGACTGGTGAGGATGAAAGCCCAAAAGAATGACTGAGAGAATGAGGGGGTAAACAACATTTCTAAGAAGTTTTCTGGTGACAGGAAGCAGAGAGGGAGCAACAGGTGGTGGACATGGATGTGGGGACAGACAAGGGATTTTCCTTTTAAGATAGATAAATTAAAGCTGGTCTGTATGCTGACAGGAAATGCTTAATAAAGAGGGAAAAACTGATAATGACGGCTTGAGCTAGAGTAATATTATGCATGTTTTTCAAATTGCAGATTAAACCCCATTAGTGGATTGCAAAATCAATTTAGTGGGTCTACACCCTATTTTAATAAAAGAGACTATCAGAGTGTACTGCATACAGCATTGTCTCATGAAGCTTTCGTTTCAGTTACATATACATAGTGTCTTTTTAAAAGTCTGAAAAACAGTAGTACATGTAGACATTAAACAGGCTAAAGAACATAAAAGAAAATATCAATATTAAATAATCGGTGGCAAAGAGAACACAATATAATATGCCTACAAATTAACGTCAACCGTGCAAAACTTCCCGTACAGAGTAGCTACAAAAACTTCCATTTGCACCCGGTACAATGAGCAGACACGGAAAAGACCATGTGGAATTAAAACTGTTAGAATGGCTTTTACTCCCTCCCTACACACACACACAAATAGCTAAATGCTTCTCATCAAACTTGGACAGCACCTGTTCTGAGTTAGGGTTCCAAAGGAGCCCACTACCCCTAAGCAAAGCTCTACCCCAGCATTTACCCATCTCTCCTCCAAGTACTTCCAGGCCGGACCCAGGGCTTTGTACCTTCGAAGTTCCCGCTCCAACACTGGGCCAGGCTCCCCACCGTGACGCCTGCAACGCTAGTGAGTGGATGAGGGAGGGAACAGGCACCCTGAAAGGCAGCCGAGACAAGTGGCACTCGGCCCCGCGTGCTGGGCACGCGGTGGGCGTGGGGGCGAAGGTTCGGAGGGACAGAGCGAGAGCCCCTTCCTCCCTCGCCTCCCGATCCGTCGCCCTCCCCACAAGCCGCGACGAGGGGTCGCCCCAGGCCCACGTCTCCCGGCTCCCAGGGTCTAGCGCTCCCCAGCTGTGAGCGTCGGCCCAAACCCAGCGACGCGCCCCGAGCTGCTTACACTTCCATGCCGACCCCCTCTCTTCGCCTCCGGCCGACAGCAACCGCGGTGCTCCACACAGCCCCGCCGCCGGACCCGGCGTCCACGCCGAGCTCCCTGTGGCCGGCTCCGCGCGCCGCGGTGCACGCCGGGATCGCCGCGCTGCACGCCGGGAGCCTGGAGGACCAGGCGGGGCCGCGAGACCTGCGTGCCCCTCTCGCCGTCCGAGCCCTGTCCTCTACGCCCAGCTCGACTTCAGACTGTTAAGCGTTTGCAGACAGGATTTAGCTCACGTTTTCGTGGTCTAAGTTATATACAAGTAGTATGAATAAAGTAAATTTCCAAAGACGTAATCGGATTAGTAGGCCTTTGCGGCATTAAAATCCCACCCCGGGGGCTTCCCTGGTGGCGCAGTGGTTGAGAGTCCGCCTGCTGATGCAGGTCACACGGGTTCGTGCCCCGGTCCGGGAAGATACCACATGCCGCGGAGCGGCTGGGCCCGTGAGCCATGGCCGCTGAGCCTGCGCGTCCGGAGCCTGTGCTCCGCAGCGGGAGAGGCCACAACAGTGAGAGGCCCGCGTACCGCAAAAAAAAAAAAACCAAATCCCACCCCGGGAATAGTAGCAATGGCAAGGGGTGAGACGGCCCGGGGCCTCTGGAAATGCTCTATTTCAGGACCTGGGTGCTGGGTACGCGGTGTGTTCTGTTTCTGAAAAGTCAGTGAGCTGCACGCTTATGTGCATTTTTCTCTATGTGTGTTACAATTGAATAAAACGGTCTAAAAAGTGGGGGGAAAAATCTCCGCCTCCCTTCTCCCATTTCCCATTATTCAGAGCTATTTGGCAGGAAAGTACAAAGAGCTTGAATGACAAGCACAGTCTGTGACCTTCCAGCCTTTCTAGGAATTTGTCGAAAGGGAATTATCAGATGCTTGAAGAAAGATTGATGTGTAATGATAATTTTGCTGGGAGACAGCCTAAATACCCAACAATGAGAAATTGATAAATCATATTTGAACCATACAGTATAATATCAATATATGTGACCATGAGAAATCATGTAGCGTAATTTGATATGCTAGGGAAATGCTCAAGATAGGATTTAAAAGGTGGAAAATGATGTGGTGTGACTCTAATAACCTAAGGAAAAATAAGCATAGGGAAAAAAATACCTAAGGGTATGGGAGATAGAGCCACCTAATCTACTAAATTTTGTGTTCTAAAAGAGGTGAAATGTTGATGTCTGTTATTTTCTGGAATTTTGGTATGGTTTGAAATATTTCTTAAAGACTGGAAGGAAATATGCCAAAAATTAACAATGGCAGATGTCTTTTTTCCCCCACTTTTTAATAGTTACATCAGATCATTTACTAAACACATTCTCTTTGCAAGGCCCTTGATAAGTGCTTTGCTATTCCGTGACATTAACAGTAATAGTGCAGACTTTGCAGGCAGCCTGTGATTCTATTTACCTCCATCAATTTCTTAGGGGATGTTTAACCCTGGGAGATTACCTAACTTCTCCTAACCTCAGTTCCCTAATGTGTAAATCATAGATCTATCTGTTAGATACCTAAAATGCCTGGCACATACTTAGTGCTCAACAAATAATAATTACCATGACAGTACAACCATGATACTCTATGAGGTAGATTCCTTTGTTATTCAAATTTTACTACTGAGGAAACTAAGCCAAGCTTGGAGAGATTATAATTTACCAAAAGTCATTCCTCTAGGAACTTGTCCAGTAGAAATTCAAACCCAGACAATCTGAACAAATACAGGAGGTGTATTAAATTGTTAATAGTGACTGGGGCTTCCCTGGTGGCGCAGTGGTTGAGTGTCCGCCTGCCGATGCAGGGGACACGGGTTCGTGCCCCGGTCCGGGAGGATCCCACGTGCCGCGGAGCAGCTGGGCCCGTGAGCCATGGCCGCTGGGCCTGCGCGTCCGGAGCCTGTGCTCCGCAACGGGAGAGGCCACAACAGTGAGAGGCCACAACAGTGAGAGGCGCGCGTACCGCAAATAAAAAAAAAAAAAAAAATTGTTAATAGTGACTAATGACTGGGACTTCCCTGGTGGCACAGTGGTTGGAAATCCGCCTGCCAGTGCAGGGAACACGGGTTCGAGCCCTGGTCTGGGAAGATCCCACATGCTGCAAAGCAGCTAGGCTCGTGTGCCACAACTACTGAGCCTGCGCTCTAGAGCCCACAAGCCACAACCACTGAAGCCTGGGCACCTAGAGCCCATGCTCCGCAACAAGAGAAGCCACCGCAATGAGAAGCCCGTGCACTGCAACAAAGAGTAGCCCCTGCTCGCCACTAGAGAAAGCCTGAGCACAGCAACAAAGACCCAACGCAGCCCAAAATAAATAAATACATTTACTTTTTTAAAAAATAGTGACATGACTGGATAAATGAAATATGCAATATTAATACAATGGAATACTATTTGGCAATAAAAAGGAATAGAGTACTAATACATGCTACAACATCGATGACCCTCAAAAACATGCTAAGTGAAAGAAGCCAGACACACATATTCTATGATTCCATATATATGAAATGTCCAAGAATAGGCAAAAAAATCTAGAGACAGGAAGTGGATTAGTGGTTGGTTAGGGCTGGGAGAGGGGCTAGGGTGGTGATGGAAAGCTGATGGATACTTTCTTTGGAGGGAAACAGAAATATCCTAAAATTAGATTGTGGTAGTTGTTGCACATCCCTGTGAATACACTAAATAACACTGAGTTGTACACTTTAAATGGGTGAATTGTATGGTATCCAAATTATATATCAATAAAGCTATTAAAATGTTTTTTACTGGTATTTGCCTGTGGGGATTGCTTGGAAGAGAAGTGAGGGGAATTTTTAACATTTAATTTTACACATTCAGAATTTTAAATATATATATATATATACATACATACAATTTTTTTTTTTTTTTGCCTTACGCGGGCCTCTCACTGTTGTGACCCCTCCCGCTGCGGAGCACAGGCTCCGGATGCGCAGGCTCAGCGGCCATGGCTCACGGGCCCAGCCGCTCCGCGGCATGTGGGATCCTCCGGAACGGGGCACGAACCCGTGTCCCCTGCATCGGCAGGCGGACTCTCAACCACTGCGCCACCAGGGAAGCCCTATAATATGTTTAGCATAGTGCCTGGCACACAGTTAGAGCTCAACAAATGTTAGCTATCGTTGTTGCTTTGTTTCTTGTTTTATTTACATACAGGAAATGCCTCAGGCTGCCTCTAAATTTCTTCCTTAACTTTTTTTCCCTCTGGCAGGAGCCAGAGCTTTGGATTTCTGAGGATGATGCTCGGGAGATGTAATAGGGTAAGAACCTCTCCCTTTCCTCCCTGACTCCCTCTTCTCCTGGGAGCACAGTTATTATTATCAGTAATAGCAATGAGGGACTTCCCTGGTGGCACAGTGGTTAAGAATCCACCTGCCAATGCAGGGGACACGGGTTCGAGCACTGGTCCGGGAAGATCCCACGTGCCGCAGAGCAATGAAGCCTCTGCACCAAAACTACTGAGCCTGCACTCTAGAGCCCGCGAGCCACAACTGCTGAGCCCACGTGCCACAACTACTGAAGCCCGTGCGCCTAGAGCAACTAGAGAAAGCCCGTGTGCAGCCAAAAATTAAAAATAATAATAATAATAGCAACGAAAGCACATTTATTGAGCCCCGACTGTATAGCTGCCAGACCTAGTGTTGAGATTTTACATATATTATTAACTCAGAATCTCACAACAAATCATACAAGCTAGGTATTTTTACTCATTTTTTTTTTCATTTAACAAATACTTATTGTGTTCCTTCAGTGTTCTAGGTACCTGGAGTACATTAAAAAATAAAACAGACAGAAATCACTCACATTCTAGTGTGCAGGGACAAGTGCAAATAAACAAATAGATGACAAATACAGTATGTCAGAGAGCAATGGTGCTACGCAGAAAAATAAAGGTGAGGAGACGAGAGAGAAGCAGCAGCAAACTGCTCCTTTAAACAAGGTAGTCAAGGAAGGTCCTCACTTTCTGAGAAGGTGACATGTGAGCAGAGACGTGAAGAAGGTGAGGGAGTGACACACACCGAACAGCAAGAATTACAAAGACCCCATGGCAGGGACCTCCCTGGTGGTCCAGACTCTGCGCTCCCAATGCAAGGGGCCCGGGTTTGATCCCTGGTCGGGGAACTAGATCCCACATGCATGGTGCACCTAAAAAGTTCAACTGAAAAGATCCCCATGCCTCAATGAAGATCCCGAGTGCCACATCTAAGACCCAGCGCAGCCAAATAAATAAATATTTTTACAAAACAACAAGCAAACCAAAAAAACATGGCAGAAACACCTGTTTGTTTTGTTTTGTTTTGTTTGTTTCGTTTTGTTTTTTTTTGCCTCACCGCGTGGCCTGCAGGATCTTAGTTCCTGACCAGGGATCGAACCTGTGCCCCCTGCAGTGGAAGCATGGAGTCTTAACCACTGGACCGCCAGGGAAGTCCCCGGGCCTGAATGTTTGAGGACCACACCGAACCAATGTGGCTGGAGTAGAGAGTGAAAAGTCACAGGAGGAGAGGACAGAGACGTAAGGAAGGAGGAAGCGGGGCAGGTCACTGAGTTCTAGGCCACTGGAAGGATGTTGGCTTTCACTCTGAACAGAATGGGGAGCCAAAGGAGTGTTTTGAACAGAGAAGTACCGTGACCTAACTTAAATTTTAAAAGGATCCTCTGCTCCTGTGTTAAGAAGGGACCTTCCAAGGGCAAGGGTAGAAGCAGGGACACCAAAGGAAAGACTGTTGTAACTAATAGTCAAGGGAAAAGATGATGGTGGCTCAGTCCAGGAAGAAGCAGTGGAAGTGAGAGAAACAGATTCTGGATATAATGTGAAATAGATCCAACGGGATTACATGACTGATCAGATTTGGGTGTGAGGAAAAACGGGAGTCCAAGGGTTTTGGTCTGAGCAACTAGATGGTTGGTGTTGGCATTTATTGTCATGGGAAACACAAAATGACAATCACATTCAGGAGTGGGGAGATCAGGGGTTCAGTTTTGAACATGTTGACTTTTAGATGTCTTTTAAACGTCTGAGGAAAAAGATCAAATAGCCATTTGGATATAAAAGACTGCCCCGCCCCCATTTTACAGTAAGTGGCAGAGTTGGAATTTAAGCCAAGGTAAGTTTGACTCTGCCACCCTTACCTTTTGTGTTAAATATCTGCCATCAGACTTTTTCTTCTGGCCAAGATAGAGTCAGTTGGGATCTGATTTACCATCACATGAGAAACAACCAAAAAGCAAAATTAAAAAGGCAAAATAGGGACTTCCCTGGTGGTCCAATGGGTAAGACTCTACACTCCCAATGCAGGGGGCCCAGGTTCGATCCCTGGTCAGGGAACTAGATCCCGCATGCATGCCACAACTAAAGAGTCCACATGCCACACCTAGGAGTCCGCATGCCACAACTAAGAAGCCCACATGCTGTAACTAAGACCCAGCGCAGCCTAAATAAGTAAATAAATAAATAAATATTTTTAAAAGGCAAAATACATGAAACAAAGTTTTTCAATGAAAGATAGTCATTCCTGGGAGACAGGAAACAAAAGAGGTGAGCCCTATAGTAATCCATCTTACTATTTTGAGAAAGTTCCAAGGACATGATGCAGGGAGGAAGAACCAAGGCAGAGTCTGGCAGACCCCCTGAGTTGAGAAAAAAAAGTGGAGCCTAGAGAGACAGAGGACTTTAGAGTTCATCAAAAAGAGTAACAGGGAGAAGAGAAATGTGAAGATCTACCGAGGGTTCCCTGCGAGTATTCAGTGCATTACTGATTAGTGCATGCATGTGAGGAAACTATCTGAGTTTGGGGAAAGAACCATCCAAAAGGATTAAAAAGAATAGTGCCTATTCCTACCAGCCAGACTGGGAAAACTCATAATTCATTGGGTAGAGTATTCAAGAAGGTCTTTCCTTATTAGTGGGGAATAATTAGCTCTAGACTGCACATTGCTTCTGACCTAAGAGATAATGAAAAGCAAAACCCAAAAGAATCAAACTGTTTCCAAGTAACTTAACTGCATCTCAGAGAAAAGCTCAAAAATATTTATAGGAATACAAAAATATCCAACGCCTAACAAGATAAAGATCTCATGTCTAGCATCCAAAAATTTCTAGGTATGTAAAAAGACAAGAAAATATGAACCATAATGAGAAGGATTAATAAATCAGAGAAGGATGTTAAAAGTTATTATAACTATAATCTATAGAAATTGGCTCATGCTGATATGGAGGCCAAAAAGTCCCCAAATCTGCCATCTGCAAGCTGGAGGACCAGGAAAGCCAATGGTGTAATTCAGTCCAAGTTCAAAGGCCTGAGAACCAGGTATTTACGCAAGGGAAGTGAAAGCATATGTCCATAGAAAGACTTGCACATACAAGTTTAATTTGTAACAACCACAAATTGGAAGCAACTCAAATGTCCATCAACAGGCAGCTGGATAAATAAATTGTGGTATATCCATAGAATGGAATATTATTTATCAATAAAAAGGAATGAACTATTGACACATGTACTAACATGGATAAATTTCCAAATAATTATGCTGAGTGAGAAAAGACAGATTAAAAAAATATAATAATTTCATACATATAATAATTCCATGTATATATAGAGAGAAAATGTAAGCTAATCTATTGTTACAAGCACATCAGTGTTTTCTTGGGGATGGATGGGGAGAGGCAGGAGGAGGAGATTATGAAGAGGGCGAAAAGGACAATTTTGGGTATGATGGGTACATTCACTATTTTGATTATGGTGTATTTTCATGGGTGTACATATGTCAAAACATATCAAATTATACACTTTAAATATTTGTATATTATTGTGTATCAATTAAATCTCAATAAAGCTGATGCATACATCATATATATGTACATATACATACACACACACACACACATCCATACATATCCAGATTCACGAGGCTTTTAACAGTGAGACTGTGAGCATTTTTTAACACTTCCCCAACACCCTTTCCAGCCTCAATTCATTTGCCAAAGGGTTTGATCCCTGTATGTTGCTGGGTATTCAGGAATGTGACCTCATATTTGCAAAGTACCTCTGGCTTTGACACTTGACCTCCCAGGAGGGGATGTCAGGCCTCAGACACTAGCAGGTAGATCCCAGGGGTTTGCCACAGCACTCTCGCAGTTGTCAGGACCACATGGCTCACAGCTGGTCTCAAGGGCTTCCCTGCCCACCTAGGGGCCTGCTGCAGCCCTGTTCTGGGGCTTTTGTGGGAGGAGACAGGAGAGGTTAGGGGGTCACAGAGATAAAGAGGATGAGGCCTTGCTTCCAAGGAGCCCACAGTTGGGTGGGGGAGAAGACCCAGAAGCTACAACTACAGTGCTCCCAATTCAGGGAAAGACTGCTAGATGCTTCTCCAGGATCCCATGGGAGCCCAGAGCTGGATACCTGGATCAGCAGGGAGTCTTCCCAACGTTGATGATGCTTCACTCGAATGCTGACAGTTGAATGGGAGTAGCAAGACAGACAGTGAGGGAAGGCATTCCAGGCACAGGGAGGAGCATTTAGGAAAGCTTGCAACAGCCTGATGCATTCTAGGAACTCCAAGTAATTCCACTCTTGAGTGAAGGCTAAAAACCTTCAACCCATGAGGTATCCCAGCTACTGGTCCCTTCTCCCCTCCATTCCATCCTCAATACTGTTGCCAGAAGTATCTTTCTAAAAAAAATTTTGGCTCCCTCAATTTTTAACATCTGTTGGCTCCTTATGACCTATGGGAGGACCATAGGTCCTATAAAGACCAAACCCTCTCGTTTGACATTCAAGGCCTTTTACAATCTTACCCCAACCTACTTCCCACCTCTCCTCCCCACCTCCATTCTAAAGCCCCTGACCCTTTGTTATAACCACTCTTGGTTTCCTGTTCTGCAAGCAGGCCATTCACTTTCTGGCCTCTGGCCTCCCGGACTTTGCCCAGGCTGACCCCCCCCCACCCCCCACCCCTGCGCAGGGAATGTTCTAATCCCCTTTTTTGCTGAGCAAACTCTCTTTTATCTTCCAAGACTCAACTCAGGGGACATCTCCCCCAGAATGAGGAACTTCCAGGGCAGAAGTTCAAGGGCCCCTAAGGCCAGAACCCAGGCTGTCTATTTTGTTGAATAGTTAATCAATCGTGTCAGGGAACCATTCCCTGAGTACCCCAAGATGGACGTCCCACTGCGCTGCCCTCTGTGCCCCCTGCACACCTTATCCACGCTTTGTTAGAGCTTCTTGAGGAAAGCATCATTTCTTATGCTCATTTCCTTTTCTTCAGTTTCTAACTCTGTACCTACCACATAGGAGGTGCGGTACGTGTTTGTTGAATGAACAAATGATCGGGCGTGGCTTTTCACCTTGTGTCTCCTGTGAGCCCGCCAGGCCCGGCCCAGTGTCTTTACCTCTATCCCTAGCCCGGGTCTCCCTCCAGTGCCCGGAGCACTCTGCAGCCCTGAGCACTGCCGCCCTGGGGGTAGGGGACCCTCACAGTCGCCTACCGCCTCCCTAGGGCCGCCCCCCCCACCCCCCCACCCCTGCGCAGGGAATGTTCTAATCCCCTTTTTTGCTGAGCAAACTCTCTTTTATCTTCCAAGACTCAACTCAGGGGACATCTCCCCCAGAATGAGGAACTTCCAGGGCAGAAGTTCAAGGGCCCCTAAGGCCAGAACCCAGGCTGTCTATTTTGTTGAATAGTTAATCAATCGTGTCAGGGAACCATTCCCTGAGTACCCCAAGATGGACGTCCCACTGCGCTGCCCTCTGTGCCCCCTGCACACCTTATCCACGCTTTGTTAGAGCTTCTTGAGGAAAGCATCATTTCTTATGCTCATTTCCTTTTCTTCAGTTTCTAACTCTGTACCTACCACATAGGAGGTGCGGTACGTGTTTGTTGAATGAACAAATGATCGGGCGTGGCTTTTCACCTTGTGTCTCCTGTGAGCCCGCCAGGCCCGGCCCAGTGTCTTTACCTCTATCCCTAGCCCGGGTCTCCCTCCAGTGCCCGGAGCACTCTGCAGCCCTGAGCACTGCCGCCCTGGGGGTAGGGGACCCTCACAGTCGCCTACCGCCTCCCTAGGGCCGCTCAGCCCAAAGCCGCTCCGGAGACGGCTCCGCCCACAACCGGGGTTGGAGGGCGGAGGCAACGCCCACCGGGCCGGGCTGCCTGGGATTGGTGCGGCCGCCGATAGGAGGAGGGGACAGCGCTGGGCTGCTGTTGACGCTCTACCGGCCAGAAAAGTCCAGCCCCGCGGCTGTGGAGAGACTCTGCGCGGCCAGGCGGTGGTAAGTGCTCGGCGGCCGGACAGGCTGGACGGGCGGGACGGGCGGGACTGACGGGAGGGGAGGACGCAGAGGACCCGCGCGAGCGCGCTGGGCGCTGCCCACGTCCGTCTCCGCCACAGGCTGCGCTCCGCCAAAGGCAGTGCTCCAACCCGGAGCCGGCCCCGCCCGGGGGAAACCGCCCGGTGGCCGACGAGGTCGTCAGTCCTGCCCTGTCTTCCAGACCCGGAGGACCTAGGCTCCCGGACGGCAAGGAACCGCCCAACATGGCATCGGAGGTGAGTGGGACCTCGAGGACTCCGGTCCTCCAAGCCTCCAAACGAGGGGGAGGGGCGCCCTGGGCGCCAGCCGGGACAGTGACCTGCGCACGCGATCTCCCCGAGCCAGACCTGTCGCCCTCCACCCTCCTGGTAATTGTCCTCGCAGCCTCCAGGCAGTGGGTACGCCCTGGCGCACCTGCCAGAGCCCTAAAGAGAGCTTTGCCCCGACTTCCCGGTGTCACCACCACCATCTTCTCTCCCCCGTCCCTCACCCCTCCCTAGGCAGCCTTTGTGGCAAACGCACCAACCCACACTGCTGGGGAAGGTGGCCTTAACCTGACCGTGATCTAGGCCGGGCGGGAAAGGTGCGGCCCACTCATTCAGCACCCTCACCTCTTCATTCCTTCCTTCCCGCCCCCCCCCCCCCCCCCCCCATGGCTTGCTAATCATGCTGGTCTGAAGATGACATGGGGCAGCAAGGTTCCAAGTGCTTTATAACCATGAACCCTCATTCTCCAGAACAACCCTGTTACTGTGACAGATCCAGGTACTGTACAGGCACTGTTACTATTGCTGTCTGACAGAGGAGGAAACTGAGGCTGAGTTCAGTGAATCACCTAATGTCACACAGCTGGGAGGGGCCAGAGGCAGGATTTCACCCAGAGAGCCAAACTCGATCCCTGTGTCAGAGTCCACAGGACTCTTGCATGTGCTAAGAGCCAGGACATAGGGGACCGTGCCATGTGGCCCCAGGACCTGGTGGCTTCCTGTCTCATTGGCCTCTCTCCCTCAGAGCCAGAGGACTCCTGGGTTCTCTTTCTGACTTAGTGGCAGGAGTCTGAGGCACAGGTTCCTTTCCCTGGGCCTCAGTTGATTTACTCGGCAGATGGGAATAATATTAGCTGTCTGCCTTCTCTGTAAGGTACTGGATCATGAGGTCATTGCTTTGAACCCTTCAGGTAAAAGGGGCTGTTTGCTTGATGCCAGAAAAGGGAACCCTGGGCCTGGGAAGCAGGAGGTGTGGGTTCCAGTCCCTCCTGGCCCCCATTAGCTGGCAAGTCACTTCCTCTCTGGGCCTCAGTTTTTTATTGAATAAAAGGGTTAAGACTGTCTGCCCTGCTAGCTTCTGGGTCATGGTGGAGGGCCCGTGGCAGGGCCTGGACTTTGGGGCCAAACAGATGGCTTCTGAAGCAGTCACTCGACCTCCCTGAACGTCTTTCCTCACTTGTAAAATAGGGGTAACCTCATAGGAGGGTGTAAGAGCATCTGGAGAATGCCTGGCACAGGGCGAAGCAATAGTAGGTGCTCGATAAATCATGGCTAATGACACTAAGAGGGACAACGCCAGTGTTTCCCGTGTGTTCTAAATCGGCTGTTGCTCTTTCATCCCAGCCTGAACCAGTGTCCCTGTCCCCTTGCCCCAAAGGGATCCTTCTGGCCCAGATGTACCCTGGCTCACAGCAGTGCCCTCTCCCACCACCTCGCCCCTCTCTCAGTGCCCAGGTGGTGGTGGCACGTCACTCTAACATCCTCCTGGGGTCCTTTTAAGACTGGCAGCAGGGTAGGAGCTTGGCTCCAATGCAGAGTGGACTGCCTTCAGGAAACCAGGGCGCCAGGCGACCTCTGCTTTCCCCAGGCCGTCCTGTGGGTTGGCACTAATTGGTTTGGCTGCAGCCCCACTTGTTAAATAGTTGTTATTACTAACAACCCACGAAGCGAGTCCAGGGGCCTGCTAGGGGAGGTGATGCCAGGCCCCTGGCTGAAGGGCAGCCTGCCTCCCCATCCTGACTGGCTGGCCCTGGCCCTCTGGCCCCAGTGGTCAGGACCAGGGCCCCACGTGGTGCTTTGCTGGAGATCTAGGCCTGGCGGGGCAGGGGGTAAGGGGCAGGTCCAGCTCAAAAGGCTGAGTGGGAGCAGAGGCTACATCTGCAGGGCAGAGTCCTCTGGCAGCCAAGGCTGCTGGGCACTGAGGGGTCAGCTCACAGCCTGGGGCCAGAGCACGGTGGAGGTCCCGGGGGTGCACACAGGAGTGACGAGTGGAGCTAAGGCTCCACCTGACCCTGGCAGCCCTCAGCCCCTCCCTTAGCAATACCTAGAACTTACTGAGTACCAGGCACTGTGCTATGTATGCAGTTAGCTTAATCTAATGGCTTAATCTAACAACTCCATCAGATAGATGCTATTATTATTCCTATTTTATAAAGGGACAACCCTGAAGGTTAGAGAGGTAATATAACACTCCTATGGTCAGATGGCTAACTGAGGTCTGGGACATTGCAGGGAGCCAGAGGAGAACATATGTCCCCAGTGGCCACTGTAGACCCCTTCCACAGAAAAGATGCCAGAGAAGTAACATTCCCATCTCCACCCCGGACCACTCCCCTCCTGTCCTTGGCTCACTGGGCACTAGGACTGCCCCTCAGGGGTTCTGCACTCCCTCCCCCATCTGTCCCATGCCCTGACCTATGCCCTCTTTCAAAACAGAGGTGTCTCTGTCCCATCCCTCTGCCCTTGGCTCCTGGGGGGCAGAGGGTCAGCTAGTGACCTCCTAGAAGGCCAATGATAATGGGTGTGTCTGGGGTGCTCTCCAGAGGAGTGGGGGCTTGGGACCTTAGGCCCCACCCCAAGCTGGGGGAGGGAGATGCAGGTAATTTGAGACTGATGGGGCCCCTCAAGTGCCTCCTCACCTGTCCCTGCAGCAAATGTTCAGAACAGCAGAGCCAGCAGAGAGGTCCTGGTGGCATGTGGGGTTTAGAGCAGGGCTTCGACTTCCGGCTGCCAAGGTGCAATCCGGGCTCTGCCGCTCTCAGCAAGGGCAAGGTAAAGATCTGCTCTGTGCCTCAGTTTTTCCTCTCTGTAGCAGGATAGTATTGGTACCCAGTTCACAGCGTTGCTGTCTGCATGACAAGCAAATAATGGTGCCTGGCAGACAGTGAGAATGCGACATATGTTAGCCAGCATTATTGTCATTATCCCTGGTACATCAGAGCTGGATTCCAGAGTGACTTCTCACTTTGGTCAGTGGCAGGAAGGGTCCCAGAAGTTCTGCTGTGGTCTCAGGGGTGCCTGCCACCATCTCCCTGGAGCAGCGCCCCATGGTGGGAAAAAACCTAACTTCAATGTCCAGCCAATTTCCCACATTCACTCCCTGAGTGACTCTGGGCAAGTTCCTAACCCTCTCTGAGCCTCAGTTTCCTTATCTGTCCAGTGAGAATAACCCTGCCCGCTGGCTCCCACTGCCATCAGATTTGATAACTCTCCTGAGGGCCCTTTGTGGGAGGCACTGTTCTCAAGGGGGTAGGAGACTAATTGCTCGTGCCCTCCTGGCCAGAGCGGGAAGCTGTGGGGTGGCCGGTTTGTGGGCACAGTGGACCCCATCATGGAGAAGTTCAACTCGTCCATCACCTATGACCAGCACCTCTGGGAGGTGGACGTGCAGGGCAGCAAGGCCTACAGCCGGGGCTTGGAGAAGGCGGGGCTCCTCACCAAGACCGAGATGGACCAGATACTCCAGGGCCTGGACAAGGTACTCTCCACACCCTCAGGCCCAACCCAGCGTCCCTCCCTGTGGTCCCAGGCTTTCACCAAATCCCCGAGCGAGCGCAGGCTGTGGTATCATCCCAAGCCTGCCATCTCCCCTCGTAGTGATCATATGCCTAGAGAGGTGCCCTTTAACCACATGCTGTGCTGACTGTCTCTCTTCATCCCTTAATGCCCCTGTGATCCTATGGCTCCTAAGCAAACGTGCTCTTGGCCTGTGATGCTCCTCGGGGGTCGAGCGCTGCCAGGACTCAACTGCTGATGCCCGCCCTCCTGACCCCCGTGTTGCTGCTATCTGCTACAGGTAGCTGAGGAGTGGGCCCAGGGCACCTTCAAACTAAACCCCAATGATGAGGACATCCATACGGCCAATGAGCGGCGTCTGAAGGTGAGGCCATCTCCCACCTCACCCCCTACCCCTGCCCCTCCCCTCTCTGGGCCACGTTGAGCATAAGCACCATCATTCTGTTCCCTTCATTACTGGGACCTCAGAGCAGGAGGCCTTAGCAGAGATGGCAGAGATCGGGCAGAACCAGGAGACCCCCCGGGGCAGGGAGAGAGGGCCACAGGCTGGGGAGGCTGTGGCCTGAGCTGACCCCACTGGGCCACAAGCAGGCAGACCCCGACTGCATGCCTCCCTCCACCCCCAGGAGCTCATCGGTGAAACCGCAGGGAAGCTGCACACAGGACGAAGTCGGAACGACCAGGTGCCGCCAGACTGCCCGGCTCCCCGCCCTGGGCCTTCCCAACCTTGGGGGGTCCAGGCAGCAGAGCTGGGGCTCAGCAGCAGTCCTGGCTCCCCAGGGAGGCAACATATCTGTGGTCCCTGAGTGCCACATCCTCCTCCCAACAGGTGGTCACGGACCTCAGGCTGTGGATGCGGCAGAACTGCTCCACGCTCTCTGCCCTCCTCCGGGAGCTCATCAGAACCATGGTGGATCGGGCAGAGGCGTGAGTGCATGCAACACCAGGTGGTAGAGAGGGGCATGAGGGCAGCCAGGGTCTCTGCTCCCCCAAGACAGGCAGCCTGAATGCCAGACCTAGGTGGCAGGGGTGATGAGGGTAGGGGGGCCAGGCTCTGGGGTACAGGGTTACAGTCCAGAACTCCTGGACCGAGTGAGGCAGAGCAGCCAGGAGCGGGGATTTCTTGCAGCATCCCCGACCCCCAGCCAGCCCAGCTCAGCAGGCAGGGGGAGCTCACCCTTTGAGGGTTCACAGGCCAGAGGCTAAGGCACTAGGCAGATGGCCCGAAGCCTGCGGAAGGGGGCCAGCTTGCCCGGGGCAACCAGAGAGTCACTCCTTGGCCTGCCTGTGCCCCATGTCCCCCGTCCCCACACAGCATGGCGGGCAAAGGAAAGAGCTGAGGGCTGCCTCCCGCTGGCCTCATCCCAAGCTTTGGATTCTGTGACATGACTGCTGAGAAGTCTCTATTACAGGGTTGACCCCTCCTCTTCCCCAGCTCCCTGTGACCCCTGTTTCACTGACTTCACTGGGGGAAAACAAGGGCCCCCAAACTGTCATCCTCGGGGCAGGATGGGTCTTGGGAGGATTAGGGAGTGACTGCTAATGAGTACAGGGTTTCTTTCCTTTTTTTTTGTCTGCGTTGGGTCTTCATCGGTGCACGCAGTGAGCGGGCTTCTCACTGCTGTGGCTTCGCTTGTTGCGGAGCATGGACTCTAGGCGCACAGGCTTCAGTAGTTGCAGCACGTGGGCTCAGTAGTTGTGGCGCACGGGCTTAGTTGCTCTGCGACATGTGGGATCTTCCCAGACCAGGGATTGAACCCATGTCCCCTGCATTGGCAGGCGGATTCTTAACCACTGCACCATCAGGGAGGTCCCAGGGTTTCCTTCTTGGGGCGATGGTTGTACACTAAATGTACACTTTAAATGGGTGATTTGTATGTGAATTATATCTCAATAAAGCTGTTTATTTAAAAAAATTAGAACTGTCACTCACAGCACCTGTGCCACTGCCCTGCCTACTTTAAAGTGCCCCCAGCTATTCTGGGCTCCTCTGGAGTTCCTCTCATGCTCACAAACTCGGCCTCTCACTGCCAGGTGGTACCTGCCGTGCACCTCCCCTCCTACCCTGGCCCCTACCCAGATCTGCTGCCAAGGTGCAGAGGCCCCAGCTGAAGGTGTAATCTCTACTTGGTCCTACGCTCACCCTCGGGACGCTCCCCAGCCATGGCCCAGTCACAATGCCCCACCTCCCGACCCTTCCCTTACACCATGTTTGTCCCCAGGAGATCACCTGGTCCCTTGTGCAGGCAGATCCTTGGTGAGCCTGCCCTGCTCTTCCCTACAGGGGCCCAGGGGCCCAGGCAGGCCTCGCCTGAACCTCCTGAGCCCCTCAGGCTCCCTGCCCCTACTCTTCCCCCACAGGGAACGTGACATCCTCTTCCCAGGGTACACACACCTGCAGAGGGCTCAGCCCATCCGCTGGAGCCACTGGATCCTGAGGTGAGCGGGCAGTGATGGAGGGGCATGGTGGAGGGGAGGGGCCCAGCCCAGGCTGCCCTGACCCTCCTGCCTCCTGGCTTCCCACAGCCATGCTGTGGCACTGACCAGAGACTCTGAGAGGCTGCTGGAGGTGCAGAAGCGGATCAACGTCCTGCCCCTGGGGAGGTGAGTGAGGCCCAGTGCTCCAAGGATGGGGCTGCTGCCACATACTTAGCATGGTCCTTGGGCTTCAAGAGAAGAGGAGGGGCCAGGAAGGGCAGAGGGGGACAGAAGCCAGGCAATCAGCCTCCCTAGCCACGGTGGGAGGGAGACCACAAATGGACCCTCAGCTCTCTCTAAGATGGGGGCGATGAGTGTGTCACAGCCAGGCCAGAGCTCTCCAGAGAGCCAGCCAGCTGCTCACATCGTGCCATTTCCCCCGCATGGGGACAACTGTCTGGCACCCAAGCCGACCAGGCCGCAGCCCTGGCAACCAGAGCTCAGCACAGGTGTGCATGCAAGTACATGCCAGGGCCTGCCTGCTGGGAGCCCCGGTCACTCAGAACCCCTCCCATCTCTGCAGCGGGGCCATCGCAGGCAACCCTCTGGGTGTGGACCGGGAGCTGCTCCGAGCAGGTGAGGCACCCTGCCCCTCCTTTCCCAGGAGACCACCCGCAGCACCTGCCAGGTCTCACAGACACACACTTAGAGAGGGCAGGGGTCCGGGTAAAACTCTGGTCTATTATCTATGGCCAGTGAGGCTAGAGAGGCAAGGGGAGGCCATGGGAGAGGTGCATGGTGCCGGGGAGACTCAGGGCTCCCGCCTCCCTCCTGGGACCTGTACCAAAGACCTTCCCAACCTCCTGCCCCTCCCTACTCCTCCTCCCTGAGAGGGGGTCATGGGGGGGTGCTGGGCAGCCTGCTTGGGGGGTGGGGGTGGGGAGAAGGCCCCTCCTTGCCCTCCAGCCCCACCCTATTGCCTTCCCCTTCCCAAATCGGCCAGAACTGAACTTTGGGGCCATCACTCTCAACAGCATGGATGCCACCAGTGAGCGAGACTTTGTGGGTGAGTCCTGGGCGCTGGCCCGCCCGCCCTCCAGGGCCAGTCCCCTGCAGTGTGTGCTGCCTTTGTCCCCCCGCCCTGCCTCCTCTCCAGCTTCCTACCAGCCCCGTATGGCCCACCGGACCTTCTCCAGGCTGGGTGAGGGGTGAGGCCTGGTGACCAGACAGCCTGCTCTCCCTCCCCTCCCACAAGCTGAGTTCCTGTTCTGGGCTTCGCTGTGCATGACCCACCTCAGCAGGATGGCTGAGGATCTCATCCTCTATGGCACCAAGGAATTCAACTTGGTGCAGCTCTCAGATGCCTACAGGTAAGGCTGCGCCTGCCCTCCCCCAGCTGCACCCACCAGCATGACTTCTTTCCTCCTCACCCCAACCCTGGGGCAGAGCTGCCCAGCAGACCAGCCAAGGGGCACCGGAGCCCCTTCAGCCCCCAGCATCTCTGTCTCCAGCACTGGAAGCAGCCTGATGCCCCAGAAGAAAAACCCAGACAGCCTGGAGCTGATCCGGAGCAAGGCGGGGCGAGTGTTTGGGCGGGTAAGCAGGGCAGGGAGCTGGGGCGAGGCCTCTGCGCGGACCTGGAGGGTCCCGAGGGAACGTCCAGGACAGGCTCCGAGGTCCAGCCTCCTGATCCTCCCTGTCCCCTCAGTGTGCTGGGCTCCTGATGACCCTCAAGGGACTTCCGAGCACCTACAACAAGGACTTACAGGTGCGAGGCTGGGGACCTAGTTGTACACATACCAATTCTCGGGGTCCTGGTTCATCTGGGCAGGGACCCCACAGAATTGCCACCTCCTGTCCTGTGCACCCAGCCCTGGGAGTGCTCTCCTCTCCCTTGGTGCGGGGTGTACAAGGTGCTGAGTGTTCCCAGTGGAAGGCAGTGGGAAGGCCTCACTGGGCACCGGGCTACTGGGCCCTTACCTCCTGCCACATGCCTCCCAGGAGGACAAGGAAGCCGTGTTTGAAGTGTCCAACACCATGAGCGCCGTCCTCCAGGTGGCCACTGGCGTCATCTCTACACTGCAGGCAAGACACGCCTCTTCTCCCGAGGCCCCTAAACTCAGGGCTGGGATGCCAGGAGGGTGATCTTGAGAGGAGGCAAGCGTGGGTGGGTCCAGAGGCCGTGGGGCAGAGGGAGGGGGCATGTGCTTGTTCCTGCCCTGGGAAGAGCGAAGAGACATACTACAGTAGAGTGGAAGTGGGTTAGACTCAAGGAGCCCCATCAGCTGGCCTGACCAGATTTCTTCTTTAACCACTTACTATGGGAAATTTCAGTATGCAGCAGTTGAGAGGCTGTATCATGAACCCTTATGTACCAACACTCGGCTTAAACAACAATCAACCCATGGCCACTCTTGCTTCAGCTGTCTTTACCCACTACCCCCTCCACCGTTGTTTTTAAGCAAATCCCCCTCATCATTTCATTCCTAAATAGTTCAGGATGTGTCTCTAAAGCAGTGGTTCTCAAAGTGTCGTCCCAAGGTCAGCAGCATCAGTACCACCTGAGAACTTGACAGACCTGCAATCCTAGGCCCCCCTCCAGGCCTGCTGAATCAGAGACTCTGGGTTAGGCCACGGAGATCTGTATTCATTATAAACCCTCCAGGTGATTCTGATGCTAAAGATAAGGAGGCAACCCCAGTAGCACAGCTAATAATTATCAATAATTATGAAATGATGGTTCAAGCAGAGAAAGCAGAAGAGGGTGGGTAAGAGGGGATCTGCCCAAGGCAGGGGACTTCCTGGCTGAGGGGGGAGGGTAGGCCTTAGGCTGGCAGCTCCAGGACCAAGGGCCCCCCAGATTCACACTCGCCTGGCCTGCTGTCCCCAGATTCACCGTGAGAACATGGCACGGGCTCTTAGTCCTGACATGCTGGCAACTGACCTCGCCTACTACCTGGTCCGCAAAGGGGTAAGTGTGGGGCAGCCAGGGTGGAGGGGCGAGGGGACAGGGATATTCCTCAGGCTGGGGGTGGCGGTGGTCATGGCGCGGGGGGAGGGCCGGCACCCCCAGCAGAACAGGGAGCTCAGGAAGCCTGCGTCAGCACCACTCTCCCGCCCCCCCGCGCCCCCAGATGCCATTCCGCCAGGCCCACGAGGCCTCCGGGAAAGCCGTGTTCATGGCCGAGACCAAAGGGGTCGCCCTCAACCAGCTGTCGCTGCAGGAGCTACAGACCATCAGGTGCGCTCCCCTCCCCTCCCCTCCCCTCCCCTCCCTCTGCTGCCTTCCTCGAGGCCAGCCCGGGCCCACCTCCTCCTTTCCCCCCAGCCCCCTGTTCTCGGGAGACGTGAGCCACGTGTGGGACTACGGACACAGCGTGGAGCAGTACGCAGCCCTGGGGGGCACCGCGCGCTCCAGTGTCGACTGGCAGATTGGGCAGGTGCGAGCTCTCCTAGGGGCGCAGCAGGCCTAGAGCCCTCCCCATGCCTCTCCCAAATAAAGTGGGCCCAAGAGAAGGCTGTGTGTGTTTCCTGCCCAGCCTGTCTGCCTCGGTCGGTGGGGATGCAGTTAGGGGCCATAGAGGAAGTGGAGGAGCTGGACAAGCATGGCTAGAGTCAGGGATGGGGAAGGGTGGAGGGGATGTGCATCAGAGCCTCCACCCTGCGCAGGCCCCACCCCCTTCACCGTGGGCCTCACAGTGACTTCCTGCCTTGGGTGTCTTGGCGGGACTGGCTTCCTTGGAGCCCTGGTGGGAGCTGACGGGCTGGGTTAACCCAGACAGCCCCGTCCGTCCCCCTTCCTTCCAGTGTCCTTCCTAGGCTGCCCTGCTCACATTGTCCCCTTGCTTAACCCACCCTTCCCCAGACCGTCAGGGTCCTGTACCCTCTGAGGGGAATGGTGTATCTGGTGGTAAAGTCGGTCATCCGGCTAGCATGTGATGCCAGGCACTAGGTGAGCTGCATACACAGGTAAAGAAGACGCTTCCTCCACCCTGAAGAGTAACATACAAATTCCCAGACACTAACCGTGAGGTGAGGGCCACGGATAGGTGGTGCCAGAGGGGCCTGCCCCTGCTGCAGTCAAGGGAGGGATGGTCTCACTGAGTCTGCAAAGAGCCCGAGGCCAGGCCTAGGACATGGTATGTATTCCATAACGGTGGTCCCCAGAGCCAGCAGAGATGCAGAGGCCTCGTCTATACAAATCTCACCAAAATCCTGCTAATAAAACACAAATTTCAGACATTTCTTAACAACAAAGGTAAGCAAGCTAAACACAAAGAAGAATGAAGAACTCCTGAGCGACTCTGGGAGCAATGAGGAGACTCTGTAAACTAAGGAACCAGAACCCCAGCAGTGGGGACCCTACACCAAACTCCCAGAGGGTGAAAGCTGTGGGCCACACATAGAATGTCCTAGAGTGGTGGTTCTCAGAGTGCGGCTCCTGATTATTATCATCATCATCTTCTTCAAACTTGTTGAAAGGAAAACGTTCAGTCCCCACTGAGACCTACTGAATCACATTCAGCAGTCTGTGTTAACAAGTCCTTCAGGTGATGCTGACGTGTGCTCAGGTTTGAGAGTCACTAATCTTTAGAACCTTGTTACACAAAGTTGCTGCAGACGAGCAGCATCAGCCTCCCTGGGCCCCTACCCTGACCTACTGATTCAGAATCTGCAGCTTAAGAAACTCACCAGGTTATTCTTGTGCACATTTAGAGTCAGAAGTGCTGATCTGTAGATACACAACAAGGACTTATTGTATAGCACAGGGAACTATATGCAGTAACTTGTAATATCCTATAATGGAAAAGACTGGGAAAAAAAAAAAAATATATATATAACTGAATCACTTTGCTGTACACCTGAAACTAACACAATATTGTAGATTAACTGTACTTTAATTTTTAAAAATAAAAGAAACCCAGAGGGGTCAAACAGAAACAAAATTGTAGGAGTAAAAAAAAAAAAGTGCTAATCCAGAGAATGCCTAAAATCTAGTCTCCAAAATGAAGGAGGGCCTCAGCCATCCAACAGCAGACAGGATTAAAATAACTAATACATTTAGCACAAGGAGAACTGGAATAGAGGGAGGCAGGAAGTTGCTGTGATGCCTCCCTCCATCTCTACCGCCTCCATTGAGGGAGCACACCCCAGTCTAAATGGGGACTCTTTCCAGACAATCCTGTTAAAAGTTCCTCCTTAACTGAATTGCAGTCAGCCTCGCTGGGCTTCCCACTCAGGGAGCCTAGCCTGACCAGAAGGAATGGCCTGTCCTAGCTCAGGAAGGGCAAGAGTTTGTGCAGCTTTTCTCCCAGGCTCTGTCCATACATGACTGAGCTACTCCGCATATCTGCCTCTTTCTGTTCTGCTACAGACTGGCTGCATACTTTCCTCTTGTCTACTGTGTTTTTAATCTCAGAAGCTGTTTACACCAAAGCTCAGTGTGACCTTGTATTGATTTCCTATTGCTGTAACAAAGTACCACAAACTTCATGGCTTAAAATAACATAAACTATTTTATAATTCTTGAAGTCAGAAGTCTAAAGTGGGTTTTTTAATTAATTTATTTTTGGCTGTGTTGGGTCTTCATTGCTGCGTGCAGGCCTTCTCTAGTTGCGGCGTGTGGGCTTCTCATTGCGGGGGCTTCTCTTGTTGCGGAGCATGGGCTCTAGGCACGCAGGCTTCAGTAGCTGCAGCACATGGGCTCAGTAGTTGTGGCTCGAGGGCTCTAGAGCGCAGACTCAGTAGTTGTGGCACACGGGCTTAGTTGCTCCGCGGCATGTGGGATCTTCCTGGACCAGGGCTCAAATCCCATGTCCCCTACACTGGCAGGCGGATTCTTAACCACTGCACCACCGGGGAAGTCCCTGAAGTGGGTTTTATTGAGACAAAATCAAACCTCAGCAGGGTCATGCCTCTTCCAGAGACTAGAGAAAAATCTGTTTCCTTGTCTGTTCCAGTTTCTAGAGGCCACGTGCATTCCTTGGCTTACGACCCTTCCTCCATTTTCAAGGCCAGCAATGTAAAATCGTCAAATCTCTCTTTGACCCTCTGCTTCCACTGTCACATTTTTTTTTAATTTATTTTTTATCGATGTGTAGTTGAATTACGTTGTGTTAATTACTACTGTACAGCAAAGTGACTCAGTTATACATATATATACATTCTTTCTCTTTTCCATTATGGTTTATCACAGGATACTGAATATAGTTCCCTGTGCTATGCAGTAGGGCCTTGTTGTTTATCCATTCCATGTATACCAGTTTGCATCTGCTAATTCCAAACTCCCAGTCCAACCCTCTCCCACCCCCTGCCCCCTTGGCAACCACCAGTCTGTTCTTTATGTCCCTGATTCTGTTTCTGTTTCATAGATAGGTTCATTTGCATTGTCACATCTTCTGACTGACCTTTCTGCCTCCCTATAAGGACCCTTGTGATTACATTGGATCCACCTGCATAAACCAAGATAATCTCGTCTCAATATCCTTAACTTAATCACATCTGCAAAGTCCCTATTTATCATGTTAAAATAACATAGTTACAAGTTCCAAGGATTATTATTCAGCTTACTACATTCTGTCTGGCTCTCAAAGATTTATGTCCATCCCACATGCAACATACATTTACCTGACCCCCAAGGTCTCCCAAAGTCTCAACTCATTACAGCATCAACTCAAGTTCAAAATTTCATCTAAATCTCATCAGCTCAAAAGTCCCATATCTCATCATCTAAAATGGGTATGACTGAGATTCTGGGTATGATCCATCCTGGGGCAAAATTCCTCTCCATCCATGAACCTGTGATTGTGCTGAGGATTAAATGAGTTCACACACAAAAATTCAAGAAATAAATTATCTACTCACTTTCTAAAGTAAGATGCTGGTTTAGGTACAGTATAACAGTTATAGACATTTCAATTTAAAAAGGAAGAAAATGGGAATTCCCTGGCGGTCTAGTGGTTAAGACTCAGCACTTTCACTACCATGGGCCTGGTTTTGATCCCTGGGGAACTAAGATCCCACAAGTTGTGTGGCGTGGCCAAAAAATATAAATAAATAAACAAATAAATAAAAGGAAGAAAATGGATAACACAATATTGTAAACCAACTATACTTCAAAAAAAAAAAAAAAAAAAGGGGCTTCCCTGGGGGCGCAGTGCTT